GATGAGGGGGTGTGGCCGTTCCCATGCTAAGACAAGCTGGTCTAATTAACTCTTTTCGAAATGGTACTAGACTTCTCTTTCAACATGCTTGTAGAGAATCGATGGCCTTGGGGAAGGAACATGACTGTTAGCAAAACATGATTTAATTCTGGGAAAAGAAGAGAACATGAGAACATGAGAAAACTTTTCCTGGCCTTATCTTTCTTGGGCATAAGGAGAAGAGCAAGAAATCACTGTCGGTCATTCAAGATTCTGTTAGTATAGCCTGGATTAGTGTTTCTCAACTTTGGCTACTTTGAGACGTGTAGATCAGAGGTGGTGTTCAGCAGGTTCTGAGCAGTTCTGGAGAACTGGTAGCAGAAATTTTGAGTAGTTCGGAGAACTGGCCAATCCCACCTCTGACTGGCCCCACCCTCATCTAGCAAAACAAGCCAAAAACAAAACAAAAGGAGAAATGTTTTTCCTTCTGCATTTGAGCATGGAAGGAGGGACAGGAAAGGCGAAAGGGAAAGAGGAAAGACAAAGAAAAAGATGGGAAGATGGGAAGAGAGCAAGGAAGGAAAAAGAAGGAAAGAGGGGTAGGAGGAAGAAAGGAGAACGAAGAGGGAAGGAAAAAGAAGGAAGGAAGGAAGGAAGGAAGGAAGGAAGGAAGGAAGGAAGGAAGGAAGGAGTTTATAATGAGATGGAGGAAGGGTCTGAGGGAAGACTTGCCTTAGCCACCACCACAGGTGCCCCTGACATGAGTGACGTCCAGTTGGCCATATCCACTGTGCTCCCAGCTGCAGCTAATGAAGGGAATCAGGGCCCTTTCCTCCCCCATAAGCCACGTAATTTATGTTGCTCCCTTCTCCATTCCTCCCTGCGTGCCCTAAGATGAAGAGGGGGTGGACCTGGGTCTTCCTCTGAATTCCCTCTCCCTTGCTCTCCCTCTCCCCTGCTCTGCCCAGCTGGAGTTTGCCCTTCCCCAGTTTCTTCCATAGCCATCGGAGCCACACTCCCTGGGCCTCCCCCTCTGAATCAAATTCCAACAGGGGCATGACATTGCTTTTATGAACTCTATATCCTCACAGGGCTCATCCCAAAGGACTGACACTGTTTTAAGGAATATGGATGAGCACAACTGACCACCAATGGCCTTTCAAAATTCTCCAGCCAGTCTCGGGTCAAAAGCACATACACAGCAACACCTCTGTTTCTGCAACTGCTTTATTCATGGAGCAGGTTCCTCAACCATTTTTCTTTTCTTTTCTTTTTTTGAACACCAAACTCAAGGTCACACTCATCCACTCTGGTTCCAGTGGGGAGCTAATTAGTCTCCCAACATTTTCAATCAAGTTGCCCCCTTACTACTGGATGAGCAGGCATTCCCCCATCAACTATTTAATTAAAGATGCAATTTACCTTGACCAATAAACATGCAGGAAGTGACAAAAAATAATTAATTGCCCACTAAATAGACACCACAGGCTGAGCCAATGTTTGCAAACTGCACTGCTGAAGGGAAGGCGTGAGAACTGAGGATGGAATGGCAAGGTTTTTCCACTGAATGAAATGTGGCTTAAAAAGAACAGAAAACATTTTACTGTTGCGGAGAGGAAGAGCAAAGCTAGGTGGTACCATGACGAAACATGGTACAGGGGAGGAGCGTCTATAAATTTCTTTTCTGATAATTCCACCCACTCACCCTTGTCATGTCTTCTCATAAATGCAACTGGAAAACACAATTTTGAGTGGACAAAATATTTCACCAATTGCTTTTATCCAAAAGAAGAGTAATTATTTCCCCCACCACCACCAAAAAAAACACACCTTTGCGCATCCTTATTTTAATTCCCTCTGAGAGGAAGAGCAGTAAAAATGATGATCGATGATGATTGGTAATGACGATGACCCTTTAAAATGGAAGGTTTGCTTCTAATCTGCTGGCAATCCATGAGGGAAGCAGGCATCATGTTCCACTTTGGGGAGGTTGAAGAGTTTCATAAGTGGGTGATCCCCAAAATAGGAATCTCATGGTGCAATTATATGTCAAGAAAGCTTGCAACCAAAAGGAGGCCCTTCACAGGAAATGCTTTCCAAGAGTTGGTCAAATGTAGTGCCTGGCCAAATTCATCCTAGCAGGAGGAAGGCAAGGAATATGTATTATGCGTATGTGCCTAAGAACAACAAGAGGCTCTCAACAGGCTCTTGAAGAAAGAGCAAAGAATGAAGCGAGGCAGAAGATCCATATCTACAGGTAGTCCTTGACTTATACCAAGGGTGGGGGTTTGTAGGGGTTCGGGAGAGCCCCTACCTAAGATTCTGTGCAGTTTGGAGATGTTGCAGTTTGCCGGTAGCAGGTGTGGACGGCTGAGGTCTTGGAGAGCGAGCACTCAGATAAGGGCCCTGCATGTGATGCACGGATGGGGCCAGGACCATCAGGGAGTGGAGTGCTGCCTTCGGAGATTATGGAGGCTGGCAGCAGTGAGGAAGAGGATCCCGAGGAGCCTGTGCTCAATGCGCGTGCGCGCAGGGATGCTCGAAGGAAAGAGCAGCTGCAGCAGCATGGGTGACTCAGGAGTAAGGCTGCAAGATAATGGCCCCTCCCTTAAGAGATAAAAGCCAGCTGAGAAACTGGAGTTCTTTGCAGGAAGCAAAGAAGTTTTTGCACTCAAGCCTGGTGGATGTTCGGACTCTCTTAGTTTGTGTTTGGAGACTCTTTGTGTTTGAACTATTTCTTGGCAACTTTATCTAGTGTTCCTGGCAGCCTTGCATCACCTTGGCAAGGCTCGTTCTTATCAGAGACAATTAGGTTGAAACATCCTTTTAACCGAGAAGGAACGGTATTCGTGAAGAATCATTAAAAGGTTTTCCTGTTACCTCTGTTTTGTGTTTGTTTCCTTGGAACAAGGTTTGGGTCAGAACAGGAGAACCCCCAAATCCCACACCTGACTGGCCCTGCCCACCCCACTCCACCCCTCCCAGGATTTCCCATGGGGCCCGTTTTGGATGCAGGCAAGTGCAGAGTGTGCATGGAGGCTTGAGGAGGGCAAAAAAATGGGCCTCCCAGAAGTTCGGGAAGGCTGGAAATGGGCCCATCTCTGGCTTCCAGAGAGCCTCCAGAGCCCAGGGAGGCCATTTCGCCCTCCCGGAGGCTTGAGGAAAGCCTCCGGAGTCTGGGGAGGGCAAAAATGCCCCCCTGCTGTGGTGCAGGAGGCCAACTAGGCCACGCCCACCACGGCCACACCCACCCAGCAACCAGGCAGAGAACTGGTTGCTAACTTTTTTGAAGCCCACCCCTGGTTAAGATCATTTGTTTAGCAGCCATTTGAAATTACCATGGTGCTGAGAAAAGTGAAATTATGACTTTTTATCACACTACTATCGCAATCAGAAGAGGGCAGTGATCAGAAGACTAGAAACTAAGTCTATGAAGAGAGATACAAGGATCTGGGAACACATTTCCTTGTGAAGAAAGGAAGCGTGGATAGAATAGCACTCTTTGAAAACCCTGAAATGAAGGTCAAGATTCCCTTCCTCTAATTCCAGTATATTCCAGTAAATCTTGGATTTAAGATGCAGGGAGGCAGAATTAAAACTTCTTCCTCACCAAAGCTCAACACATCATCTAAAACCGGGGTCTCCAACAGGGGTGGGATTCAAATTCTTTAACAACCAGTTCTGTGGGTGTGGCTTAGGAGGTGGGTGTGGCTTGGTGGTCATGTGACCGGGTGGACATGGCTTGGTGGTCATGTTATTGGCTGGGCATGGCCAATTCAATATCACTCACATCGAGGCACGCATCTCCTTGCCTGGCCTCTCATGACTGTGGGGATGCTGCAAGAGTCGTAAGTGTGAAAAATGGTCATAAGTCACTTTTTCAGTGCCATTGTAACTTTGAATGGTCACGCCACACAAGCAAAGTACCCAGCAAAGGAGGAAAAAAAAACCTCCAGAGAAGTTCCAGAGAAAGGAAGTCTAGTCCTGCCACGAATGTAATAAGGGTTAACAGAGAGGCAGTTTCTGTAAGCAACACCAGAATGTTTCCTTCCTGCCTTCCTTACAGGATGAGCCCAGTAATTTCTTCTAACAACCGGTTCTCCGAACTGCTTAGAATGTTAACAACCGGTTCTAGCGAATAGGTGCGAGCTGGTAGAATCCCATCCCTGGTCTCCAACCTTGGCAACTTTAAGCCTGGAAGACTTCAACTCACAGAAGTCTTCCAGGCTTAAAGCTGCCAAGGTTGGAGACCCCTGATCTAAAATGCTCAGAAAGAGGCTGGACAGCTTTTTATCTGGGATGCTTTCATTGGGATGCTTGCCCTGAGTGGGAATGAGACATAGAGAGCAACATGGCCCCTTCAAACAGGATAATTATTATTTTTTAAATAAATTTTATTAATTTTCTATTAATTATATTTCTTGGTGCTTAATAAACATTGTGCTGCCTGGGTATTTAATTTCCTTAGCAATACAATTTCCATTCTTAATCTCCACCCCTTTTTTCCAACCCCTGATAAAATAAGTTCCATGTTTGATAATATTCTGCATCTTCTTTCTGTTTGATTTTCAGTGTAAGTCTATCCATTTCTGCACAATCTAGTATCTTTTTAATTATCTCATCATCTTGTGATGTTTCTTCATTTTTCCAATATTGTGCAAAAATAATCCTCGCTGCTAAGACATATAATATTAAACGTATACTTTTCTTATCATTTTTTCTGATATTATCCCTAATAAAAACAGTTCAGTTTTAAAATCCACGTTTCCCTATTATCTTTTCTAGCCATCTGTGTATTTTTGCCCCCCCACCCTTTTTTTTTTGCTTTAACACAACTCCACCACAAATGATAAAATGTGCCTGTTTTTTGGTTACATTTCCAACATTTCTTAGACATATTTTTAAACATTTTAGCTAACCTAGCAGGTGGTAAATGCCATTTATAAAACATTTTATACAAATTTTATTTATAAGAAGTTGCCATTGTTAATCTTTAGTTCCTTTCCCATAAAGTTTGCCACTTTTCTAATTCCATGTTACAGCCCCCCCAAAATTCCCATTGTATCACTGGGTCTTTTATTTGTTCATCCTCAATTTTTAAATTTAGTAAGAAGTTATATATCTTCTTAATTAGTTTCTCATCAGAGTTCAACAGTGTCTTATCAAAAGGTGCTTGTCCTTTATAAAAGACATGCCTTTTCATATTTTCTTCATATCTAAATTGTATTTGCAATTGAGGCCACCATGATGAATTAATTAATTAATTAATTCCTTATTGGCCAAGTGTGATTAAACACACAAGGAATTTGTCTTGGTGTCTCTCGGTGTACATCAAAAGAAAAGATACATTCATGATAGTATAATTCCTTGGTCTTCAAGCTCTTGCTTCAATTTAAATTTCCCTTCAGTATCCAAAATGTCCTTGTATATCACAATTTTTTCAAGGGTCACCAGGATCATTCTGATGGAAAACCCCTACCTTGCATTTGAACACAATTCTTCCATTATTGCTGTGCCATAGATGAGCTGGAGATTCAAATGTTGAGAAGGGAAGGAGCACGAATGGTACGTAGGGTGGGATGCGATGCTGTGATCCAGTGAGGCGTTTCCTCTGCTTTCAGGACCCGGAACAGCTCCAGGGGAGGTTGCTGGGCTGGCTACAGACTGTGGGAGCCATGGGTTATGCCTTGTGGCAAAGCGACCCTTCCCTGCCTTTGAACCCTTTCCAAATTTTCTTCTACACCAAGAGGCTTTTCTCTGCCTGTCACTGTTTAATATTGCTTAGTCTTCTTTTGCTTAAGCTATATGTTTTTAAAGAAGTACATATTCAATCTACTGTTACACCGGGAACCGGAGGCTGCTCATGGCCCTTGTTATATCCTCAACCAAATCAAGAATTTATCTTTAACTACTTATCTTTGACTACTCCAGACCAATCTAAAAGTGAGGGTGTAGAGGTGGTACAGATCCAGATCTTTAAATATAGGAATTGAAGTAACCCTTTTCCAAACTAGCAGATTTATTTTTTTAAAAAAATTGATGTTGGCTTCTCCAAGAAGACATCCAGAAGCATCCTTTGGCCACCTCAAATCTAAAGGCATGAAAAGTCTCCAAGTTTGACGCAGAAGGATTTGCCTCTACTTTTCTTTTGTCTGACTGATTTCAAAAGCAAACTCTTCAATTAAATGAATAAAAATGAATACGGAAAGAAATCGGGCAAGTGTGCTAATTGAAAACCAATTTCCTTCAAATATTTGTTGGGAACTTAAAAGAATTTTGGAGACGCTAGGGGGAAACATAATCCAGGTGAAGCACAGAAGTTTTGTATGAAGTAACCTTGAAGTGATCCTTTCTTTCATAACGCTTTGTACGTTGACATCCAAAGGCTACAGGCTGTGGGAGCCAGAGGTTATGCCTTGTGGCAAAGTGATCCTTCCCTGCCTTGGGACCATTTCCTTTCCTTCTTACACCTGGAGGCTGTAGTGGCACCGAAACTTTCCCTGCCAATTTTTTTCCCCCTGCAAAAGAAGTTTTAGAGAAAGTCATTCTCAACTCAATAATAATGATAGAGGGAACAAGGAATCTGGCGAGCACTGGTTTGGGAGTGTGCATGTGTGTCCATCAATATAATCATGCCCTTGGCCACTACATGACCAGATCCTGTAGAGCATAAGGTGGTATTTGCAGGAATGAGTTCCCTCTAATTAGTTCTGAAGTATTAGTACCATTTTATAAAGCCCTAGTAAGGCCACACCTGGAATACTGCAACTGATTTTGGTCACCATACTACAAAAAAGATGTTGAGACTTTGGAAAAAGTTCAGAGAAGAGCAACTAAGCTGACTAAGGCCTGGATACTAAAACAAATGAAGAACGGCTGCAGGATTTGGGTCTGGTTAGTATAAAAAAAAAAGAAGAAGAATTGGGGTGACATGATAGGACTATTCCAGTATTTGAGGGGCTGCCACAAAGAAGACAGGGGTCAAATTATTCTCCAAAGCACCAGAGGGAAGGACAAGAAACAATGGTTAGAACTCAGAAACTAATCTAAGAGAGAGGCAACCCAGAATTAAGGAGAAACTTCCTGCAATTAGAACAAATAATCAGTGGAACAGCTTGCCTTCAGAAGTCATAGGCACGCTATCACTGGATGTTTTTAAGAAAGTCTAGACAGTCACTTATCCAAAATGGTATAAGTTCTCCTGCTTGAGCAGGGGGCTGGACTAGAAGATCTCCAAGGTCCCTTCCAGCTCATTCATTCTATTTTCTCTTTAAAGACAGAGAGGGAAAGGTTATAGAACATGCAAGACCAACTTAAAGCAAGCTGTGTTTCACCCTGGGGGTAGGAAACCAGTTGTGGCATCTTGAGTGAATCAAGCCATCCTATTAGGCCAGAATCTGGTTTCCTTTGAAACACAGTCATTTGTGTTTTGTTTTTGTCTGGGTTTAACATTCCATGGGTTGCACAGGCCTTTCTATATTAGAGATTTTAAATGAAGTTCAGCCTTCGTTGGGTGGACGTTATGCCAAGATGGTGGTTGTGGTTCTTTATGACCAAGAAAATGTATTACTCCGATACAGTTGGGGGAGAGAATACTCCGAGGATGCTAGTTGCCTGAATAATAGACCGTGGTTCAGTATTTCTGTTCTTTTCCACAAATGCAAATAGAATCTCACAATGACTGGATGGGACTGGGCTGCTTGCGTCAACTCGAAAGTAGTGGCAGCATACAGAGTAGAGCGGATGGCCTTGATGAAGAGAGGAAAGGTATGTTACCAGAGCAACAAACAGTCAGAAGGTAACTTAAGCCCCCTTGCAAAGACAGAGTTGTATGAAAACATCTAAGACAGACACACACACCCTTAATTCACACGATGACACAGGTAGTCTGTGAGAACTGCCATCTCATTCGCTCGATGCCAGTATGCCATGCATGGGAGGGGGGAAAGTTTGCTACTCACCTTACCTTCTGGAGCCACAACATCAAGGTCAAACAGCTGGGAGACCAGAAAATGGGAAGTGACTGGGGCAGGGGTGGGGGAGTTAAACTTTGGGGGTTTTGGCGCACTGATTTCAGTTCTGGCTTTGCTTTATTGTATTCTGCTTTTTTTTTCAAATAAGTTTTTTTATTTTTCAATATAAACATACATATTTTGTGGGCATTGCATTAACTGGGTCGTATCTCTTTTTAAGCAACAGTACCCATAATAATACAAATAGGTATATGTAGTTCTAATCTTCCAACTTCCACAACTTCAACAGAGCTAATCTCTTTTCATAATCTGTTGTGTTCTGCTTGACCTTTACCAAACTATGCCTTTCTCAACAAATAGAGTCAAGGATTGTTCTTACTTAAAGGCAGTGCATACTCCTTGAATTATGACAGCAATAAGGAACAGAATTTCCAGCACTAAGCGATGCAGTCTTCAAGTGCAATGTCATGTAACCACATAGTTTAGTGGTGGTAATCCTGGTACTCCTGGTTGCCATCATAAACCCAGTGTCATGCCCCTGTTAGAATCTGACTCAGAGGGAGAGGAGGAACAACCGACAGGGAGTGGGAGTGTGGCTCCAAGGTTGTGGAGGAAACCGGGGAAGGGCACAGGCTGGCTAGGCATTCAGAGGAAGACCCAGGCCCACCCCTTCTTTATCCTAGGGAACGCAGGGAGGAGCAGATAAGGGAGAAATGTGAATGGCGTGGTCTACGGGGAGGCCTTGATCCCCTTCATGGGCTGCAGCTGTGAGGACTGGTTAAAAGGACAAATTGTGCATGGGACAGTGCTGGAAACAAAGCATGAAATATTTCTAGTCTGTCAGTTCTTATCTGAGTTCTGGCGTCCTTCACAGGGTGTGTATTTCGATATCTGTGGACGTCTTCAAGCTCTTATTCTGCCTCATCTCATTAATTCTTCAGTGTGGTTTGTGTTGTTTTTTTCTATTTATAATTTATAGGTATTTTGAGTTTGAATGGAAGTTCTTCCTTTTCGCAACTGTTTATGGGGGAGTTTTTTTTCCAGTCAATGATAATTGGAGCTTTAAAGCCAAGTTAAATGAACAAAAGGGACTTCACCTGTTTTTGTGACTTTGTTGCTTTTGTATCCCACCCTGGGTCATCACACCCAGGACCTCATTGGTCATTAAGCAACACCCTCCCTGAGATGAGAGCAGTGAGAGAACTCCAGCGAGCATCCAGGGGGTGAGAGCTATGGGGTGGATAGGCAGGTAGGTGTCATGGGCAGGTGCTATGGAGCATGGTTGGGTGGACAAAAAGCAGTGAGAGGAGGAGTGACTCATAGCCTCCTGCTGGCTTCCTGTTGTGGCTTGTCGGCCATCAGCCCCTCCAGCAGCTGAAACAGAGGAGGAGGAGGAGGAAGAGGAGGAGGAGGAGGCATAGGAGTCAGGGTCAGCATCAAGGCGGCCTGCGAGCTCCGAGGGGGGAGAGGGAATGGAGCTGGCAGAGAAAGAGACAGAGGCGGAGCCTGGGCCATCTGTCAACCCTCAGATGGAGAGTCAACAGCCCCCAGGTCTGGAGGTGGCTGATGAGGAGGAGGAGGAACAGCTGGGTCCAGTGCCTGACACGTAGATACATAGAAGGCAGAGGAGAGGAGAGCAGTGGAAGTCTATGGGCCGGTCCTTGGGACGGAAGAGCCACCGCTGTTAGCAAATCCCCACCCTAGCTCTGGGGATAAAAGGAGAGATGAATAGATGTGGCAGACAACCATTCATCTCCCTGCTGGACAGACTTGTTCACCTGTTGTGAGAAACTTTTGGCAGGGGCTACTGGCGCTCCTAATAAATCTTTTGAGTTCACTTCTGAGGGTTGGTCGTGTTTGGCGAGCTGGGTCAGAACACTTCCTCACTTACTTTGCTTGCGGGAAGCTATCAAGGAAGGTGATCAGATGACCACTGGGATGCTGTAACCATGGTAATTGCCAGCTGGTTGCCAAGCACCCCATTCTCAATCATGCCGACCGCAGGAATATTACAACAGCAGTAACTAAGTGGGCTTGTCATCAGCCCTTCCTCATTCAG